AAAGATGATAAATCCGCGGAACAACCTCCCAAGACTTATAGAGTCGTGGTCAAGCGGATTTTTATCCATGCGGATGCTATTGAACTTTTCCGACAAGAAGTGGAGGCCTGGTTCGCCATGGATCATCCCAATGTACTGAAATTGTACGGCGCTTCACATTGTAGTCGTCCTGCTCTTCTTGTATGCGAAGATGCAGCCAATGGGCCTTTGGTAAACTATTTGGCTCGGGAATCAAAGAGCAATACCTTCGACCAGAGTGTGATGTGGGGAATGTTCTTACAAGCAGCAACGGGGTTGAAATTTCTCCATGAACACAAAATTGTACACGGCAATCTCAAGAGTGACAACATTCTGGTTACTGCGGATGGTACCGTGAAGTTAGCGGACTTTGGCCTCGGTGTGCTAGCGCTACAGAATCAAGCCATACTGGACAACACATTTGAAGAACTTGGCTGGCGTGCACCCGATTGCCAGAAGAAGAATGCTCTTCGCCGTCCATCTGTCCAGGACGATATCTACTCCCTTGGGTTATGCTTGATAGACGTCCTTGTGCCAGAAGTATCGTCGATTGCCGATGACAGCAGTACGAACGCATCGAAACGTGTGGGAGAGGAAGGTTTCGATCCTTTGTCGTCGAAAGTTACGAGTTTGATTCGCGACGACAAAGCGAGAGAATTGGTGGCGGGAATGTGTCAAGTTGAGCCGAAGAATCGATTGCTACTGAGGGAGGTAATAGCGTGGATGGAATCGTTACGCGATAATACACGGAAGGGATGTGGGAAGGTTATTAGTTTCCCTGGTGTAGATCGCATTATTGGTTGAGGTGCGTTTGGAGACCAACAACACTACGATAGCTAAACCATTCCTGTTTTTGCCATTATTTGCGCAGGCAATCGATTGGAAGGTTGCTGGAGAAAATAAAGGCTAGTGGTAGATAATTGTTTTGGGTTTGCAGCATATACAGCATACAAGATTAATTATCTTTACCGTGCTTTTTTATCTTGTAAATGTTGTCTGTAAATTGTCTTTCTTATCTCTGGTTGTGGAGCTGTCTCCGAACATCTTCGTTCAAATTTCTGTACTTATGCTGGCGTGAATCCGCAAGGTGAGGCACTACTGATGTTTGCTTCCAGTGCACAATAATTGTAAATATGCGTTTCTATTACTTCGCTACTCTTTCCTCGAATTGTCGACATGTTTACCCATTGAACGGATAGCACGCTTGTAGCGCTCCAGGTACATCCATCCGCGTGCCCATGTAGAACATGCGTCGGCGAAGAAGTTGCGGTGCGAAGTTGTCTGGGAGTGGAACGGCACCAAATCCACGCAGACATTCGTTCGGCCATCCCCCTGTAAATCCAGACTTGGTCTCGCGATTCGGAGAACGCTTTTGGCGAGGAGTGATATGAGTGGGATTGGTGTTGTACAGCACGTTGGTCGTGGCTGTGTGATGGCTTGTCAGTCCCTCCGCAAACGGATCCAGTAGTGCCTTCCCGTTAACGTACAGGAACTCTGGTTCTTCGTCCTCTATCGGCATGTAATGCGCGATACTGCCACAGAGGGAGTCGTTATGGCGTTCCAAGTCTTTATCCGTCGATGAGTCCACGACGCTGACACCCCATGGAGAGAAGAAATATTCCTGCTTGGAGAGCTCAAACGACAGCCAGAACGCCTCCTTGTCACCGTACGAAAAGGAATTCTCGAACCTCTCCTTAGTAATAAGCCACCAAAGTGCTTCCATCGCCTGTCCAGCTCGTGATTTATCCACGAGAACCAGCGACGAATCCTGTTCATGCGCTGTCTCACCTCTGTAGGCAAAAGACTGCTTCAAATGCTCACTCGGTTCGTATCCTTCTCTCACGCCAATACTGGTATAGTCGAATGTATGCAACACGCTCTCCAGGTACGAGACGTTGTTCTCGTTTTTATGGTTGAAAAAGTGGTCGCTCGGGAGCACGCGGTCGTAGAAGAAGGTAGTACCCGTGCGTTTGTAACCTTCTGTGGTCCTTAATACCGCGGGATCATGCATGAACAGGTCGTCTACATCCAGTAGCATCACCTCGGGCACGTTCGAGTGGTACAGAGCCAAAGGTTTGATCCACCAACTGCGGAAGTGTCGGGCTGTCTCCTCGTCCAATGCGCCGCTCTCGACAAGATCCGAGCACACGTCGACGATCTCCAGTCGCGAGTCCGCAGCGAATAGCTGCTCCCTAGTCTTGACGGACAGTTCGTCCTGGAAGCAATGGTACACTTGGATGAGCTCCTGGTTACCTAGACAGCGAAGCTCCCGTACTAGCGACAATCCCATGGGAACAACACCGTCGTGCATACAGAGAACGATGGCCTTGTCTCGCGGAACGCTGCGGTCGAACTTGGCACCGCGAGCGTGGAAGAGAGACGGATGGGTAACCGTTGTGGACATCAGCAGACTCGAGATGGACACTATCACGACGCAGTACAGTAGGAAGAGTCCAGCGCGACGCCAGAGCGAAGTGTCCACTTTCGAAGACACATCGCCCGCTTCCAGGTCCTTCAGCTTCGCCATTGAGAGCAAGAAGTGAAAAGGAGACGGCGAGATGGAGAATGTGCAGTGATCAAAGCCATCTGAACCATCAGGCCACCGTACATACGTCAACC